AATTTCTAGCTCTAAACTCCACTCTAATGGGAGCCGGCTTGAGTGGAAGTTGGGGACTAGCTGAAGAGAGAAGAGTTAAGGAGAGAGAAGAGTACCGTAGTTTTGGTTCACATTAGTGTCTGCACAGCTGAGAATAAAGTCTAGCTTAAATCAAGCTCTTAAATAATCTGGTAGTACAGCTTTCCCAGGTTAATAAAATTTCTCAGTATTATCAAAGCATGTACAATATATATCAAATCGTTGTTTAGATAAACTTTCCTAACATTTTGTAATTTCAGAACATAATATAGCGTATGGAATATGCTACACGGATGATTGATTGATTGCAGCCGAATTTAATTTAATTGGGCATTGATCAGCTCAGGCAAGTCTCTCTCAATCCCCTGTTGATAGTTTATGGTAATTTTATCTATGCTAAAAGTATATTTTAAAAACTATAATTCAAATGTAGTGTTAAGGCCAAAATAATTCAAAGTAACTGTGGGTGAAGTGGTATGAGCAGCCTAGTGCTAAAATAAACCTTCGTCATTTATGCTTGTGTCCAAAGTGAAGACTATGGAGAACTAATAATTATTAAATCTATTCAATGTTATGAGTATAGTTTAGTTTTATAAATTCCTTTCCGTTTGACAAAATATACATACAATTGGTAACAGTGTAGGATATAAGTGTAGTATATAGGTTATCATATTATTAATCACTCGATCCATATATATTTTAAACATACTATTTATTATTGAATTGCTGAATACGAAAGTTGTCACCCTTACTGTGTAACCCTATATAGGTTTCATGCGTTACAAGTATAAGACATTGAAAATATGGCTATAACACTTGATGTCAAAGTTATATTAAAGGTAGTTTTTAGCTATTTGTATAATCGTTCTCTGATGTGGCAAAACAATAATTTGTTTAATATTAATTCATAATCTGAAACATTGATCTTTTGGGTTAAAATTGTGGAGTGTGATACTCGCCCATCTCCAATGCTTTGTTTTTCACAACTACATGTCCAGATAGCTATATAGCAAATGCAATATATAGTACCTTTCTATAGACACCGAAAAATTGTGACCTTTGCTGTGAGACACCTGAAGATCGTGTATTTGCTCGTGGACACTGTAAAAAAGTGGTAATTAGCTGCTGGACACTCCTCCCATTATTTTATTATTTCCGATCAAAAAGGAGAGAGAAACTTTGGTTAAAGACAAGTTTGCCCATGGGTCTACTTGTCAATCTCTCTTTCTCTGTTCATCTTCTTCCTCTCTTTCTCTGTTCATGTCTTCCTCTCGCTGTCACGGCACACCTCGCCGTCCGGCCTCATCCGCCGGGGAGACGACTTCTTCTCCCTCCGCGACGAGTTCGTCCGCTCCGCCCACGCCGCGCTCGCCGACGCGTTCCTGCCCTGCGACCCGCAGGACTGGGAGAGGAAGCACGATGTGGTCGCCGGCGTCGTCTCCCACCCGGTGGCGCGCCGTGTTGAGGAGCTCCGCGTCGCCGCCATCAAGTCCGCCGACGGGCCGTCGTCCGACAAGGAGGTCTCGGAGATGGAAGGGGAGTTCCACCTCTCCCTCAGTGGCAGCACCCAGCCGTCGGAGACGCTCCGCGTGCTCGACCTCACCGGGTGCGGCAGTTTCTCCCTCTCCGCTGGCATGGTGTTCCCGCGGCTGACGACGCTGCGGCTGCGGCTGCGGCTGTGCGTCGTGCAGGTCAAGGACCTGCAGGGCGTCGTCGACTCCGCGCCAGCGCTCACCACCGTGCACCTCGAGTCCGTCTTCCTCGCCGGGCCGAAAGAAGATGGCTGCGCCAGCGCCCGCCCGGGCAGTGCACCACGTCGGCGTGCGTCGAGAGAGAGAGGAAAAGAAAAGAAGAGAGAGAGAGAGAGAGGAAGGCGTGTGCTGGGATGCCGCCGTGCGCTGTCGCCGTCAGAGTGAAACCCGGCGATGCGCCGCCGCTGCCGTCGCCCCGTCGTGGCCGAGCTGGCTGCCGTCGCGCCTCTGCTCCGCTGCGAGGAAGAAGGGGAAAAGAAAAGAAAAAAGAGAGGAAGAACAATATCCAGGGGTATTTTGGTACTTACACAACTCTTTCTCTCTCCTTTTTTACTAGAAATAATAAAATAATGGGAGGAGTGTCCAGCAGCTAATTATCACTTTTTTACGGTGTCCACGAGCAAATGCACGATCTTCGGGTGTCTCACAGCAAAGGCCACAATCTTTCGGTGTCCTGTAGCAAATTTTGCCGTGTAAGTAATACTATGTACATTGAACAAGGTAGGTTATCAAAAGTAGCGAATACGAATAACAAGGTGGTTATCAAAAGTAGCGATTTCTAATAACGAGGTAGGTTATATATCAAAAGTAGGTAATATAGCAGTTAATTAAGATAGAACTATGAACTCACACAAAAAAAGTAGCTAAGTTCAACTGTCCTTTGCCTCACGTGCTCTAAGAGCAGGTACAATAGCAGACTATTAGTCGGCTATAAATATATTTTAATGAGATAAAAGATGAGAGAGCTGCAGCACGGACTCCAAGACACAGTGTGTGTATGACAAGTGGGACCATATATTAATAGTATAGTAAACAACTATTGTATAAATTAGCTATTAGATTGAATATAGGTGAATTGGAGCTAGTAGTGGGCTATACTATTGAACTTGCTCAACTGTGTTGGCTCATCAGACAAAACATGTCGAACTTGCATGTACTACCGCGCCTGGAAGGCTGCGTTCGAGACTGCCGTATGACTCAAAGTGGCTGATTAGTCATTAGCGGTATGATTAATTAAGGATTAACAAACACACAGCTCTAATAGATTGATGTTATGTGTACGTGGTGTGCATATGATCGATGCGCACTAGATACTCACTCTAGATTTATCAACAACACAAACCATAATAGTTTTGTGTCACAAAAAAAATAACGGAATTGCTATATGTGTCGCCACAATTTTGTTCATTTTATAGGAAGGTAGCCTGCGCATTTGCGCGCGCAGGCAAGCATGTTAGACTGTGTTTGAGAAACTTATAAAGGTATAATATTAACCGAAACTTATAATAGATAATTTGGCTTGTTAAGATTATTCGAACATATTTAGAAAAAAATCATAAAGTAATCATAATATTTTCTCTAATTAAAGGCACTCAATTTTTTATGCAGTGGCTCAGATTATTCTTATTTCAGTTAGTTAATATTGCTTATGTAGTGTGCGTTTAATTTAACAATACATGTTTCAAAACATGTCATGTTGTTGAATTATTTATTTTTATTTTGGTAATTTGAATATGTAATTTTTATTTTGATTCTATTGATTTAATTTAGCTATGCATGTTTGTAGAATGATTCATTATGACATAATATTTATTGTCAATTCTTTAAGATATTTAGATGGTGTGCAAAATGCACGGGTGGACTGGCATATGTATAATGTATCTTATACATTGTTAGTTTAATTGAAAGAGAGAAGAGTTAGATATAAATCGGACATGTAGCTTTTAAAAAATTATAGCTGTTTCAACATTTTAGCAGCTAAAAAGTAAGGAATGGGAAGGCAGTGATATATCTGCATGTGAGAGGGAGGAGGAGGTGGAGGGAGTTTATTATTCTAAATAATTTAAAACATATTATAAGTTGGTCCATTTCTCTCCAAATTTCTTTTGTTGATTCTAGAGTTTTTAAGGCATAACATGTGTCGACTTAAGACTTTTTTTAAAAAATAGATCTAATGAAAATAATGAATCCATCGAGTTAAGTTGAATTATTTTTGTAATTTTTAAGATGTGATGCTTGGTTAAGAATCATCGGTTATATGAATAAAAATGCTAAAGGTATGCTTATAATTACAATATTTTATTTTTTTATCGGTTATAGTTGTTTAGCTGCTATTACTTTATTAATAACTAAAAATAAAATAAAAGCTTTAATGATTGATTAAAATCTATTTTTTACTCGTATGTACCTACAGTATAAACATAGTTGATATTAAACATGTGAACACTACAAATATATTTTTTAAAAGGAGCATACTACAAATCTAATAATCTAATAATGTTTTTTTTTACTTTTTATTATGATAGAATGGGGGGCTAATTATTTTTTAATATTATTCAAAGTTATGTTCATTTTAATCTAATTTATTTTTTAGCAAGTTATATACGATGATAAAACATAAATTATATTTTTTATAATTCTATAATCCTTAAATGGCACGCAAAAGTCAGAAAACTTAGCCCTAACTAATGTTTCTGCTCTAAGTTGAATTAAAGTGGATATGGGTTTTATGATTTAGATATTATATTTTCTTAATTGTTTAACATAAAATTTTTGCTTTTCTAAAAACGTGAAAATAGGAGAATAAGTAGGTGAAAAAGAGGGGAAAAAATTCAGAAGGGAGGAACAGCGTACGTACGTACGTACGAACGTATATGCCATCAGGCCTAGGTGGGCCCGGATATGAGGAGATGATTCTTTTTGTAAATCTAATGGTTGTAAATAATGGGTCCACCAAATTTAATGAAAACCAACAGCTAGATGTTTTGGTTTTTTTAAGAATTTCTTTAATTTATCAGAGTGCCACATGACGACTAAGGAGTGTTTATAGGATGCCACATGTCAGCTTACGAGCGTTTGTAGAAAGTTTAATGGATTTTAAGTATATAATATAAATAAATAATAGATAGATAGATCTCAGATCATCCAATGCTGCATTGAGATTTGCATGTTGCAGTCGATTATCTTTAAAATTCGTGCTAGTATTCTCTTTTAACTTCGAGATTAAACTGTATCACTTATGGATAAATTGCTCATACTAATTACATCGTACTTATAGTATAATTACATACACACATATGTAATTTTGGGATTTAGAATTACATTTAAATATACTAAAATTACATATGTAATTTAGTAAAGCCGACTATTTTTGATGAAAAATATGACGCTATCGATATAGCTACACCCTTACCGTATGCACACTTGTACATTTTCAGCGGGAGAAACGAAATGGGAATTGTTAGTGTGTTGATGGGCCTTGGGAATGAATGGGCGGTGCAAGCTCTGGTCCTTTTCAGCTTCACGCTGCAAGTCACCCTCCTCTCGCTTGCTTGGATCCGTCGGCACAGCATCGCCACCATGCCAAAGCTGGTCCTATGGGTGGCGTACCAGCTAGCCGACTCCACCGCGCTCTTCACCCTAGGCCACATGGCCATCAGCAGCAGGTCGAGGGAGGAGCAGCCGCTCATGGCGTTCTGGGCACCGTTCCTCATCCTACATCTCGGCGGTCAGGACAACATCACCGCCTACTCCTTCGAGGACAACCGGCTGTGGCTGCGCCACCTGCAGACCCTCGTCGTGCAGGTGATGGGTGCTTCGTATGTTCTCTACAAGTACATGCCCGGCAAGGAGACCCTGGTCATGGCGGCCGCCGTGCTCATCTTCGTGGTGGGCATTCTGAAGTATGGCGAGAGGATATGGGCCCTCCGGGAAGCCACCTTCGACAATATAGCCAGGTGTTTGGACCAGCAGGAGGATTATGCCAGCGCTCGCGAACGCGAAGGCGACGATCTTCTCCAGCATGTTCTACAAGGAAGGAGCTCTATGGACGAGGAGAACGTTCTGATTGGAGCACATGGCCTGCTCGACATTTGCCGAGGGCTGTTCATCGGGTCACGCGGTGGGAGGCGCGGCTACCTCAGGCATGTCCTGCTGTCCTTCCAAATGTATGGCCGTCTTGATAAGCTGATGGAGTTGGAGCTGTCCCTCATGTATGACATCCTCTACACCAAGGCCACCGTGATCCACACATGGATCGGGTGCTGCATCCGTGTCATCGCGCTTGCCGCCACGGTGACCGCCACGTTCCTCTTCCTGCTCAGCAGCAAACACGGGCACAGCAGGAAAGATCTCGCCGTGACATACGTCTTGTTGGCCGGGGCCTTGCTCCTGGAAATGATATCCATGGTGAGGGCAGTCTTTTCCACCTGGACGGTCGTCTTCTTGTACAAGCTGAAATGGTATTTGGCTCTATGGCGAGGTTCTCTCCATCCGCCGTGTTTTCAGGGTGGCTACGCACAGGAGGTGGTCCGGCACAGTTGGCCAGCACAACTTCCTCTGGGCCAGCGCCAATGCCGTCGACGCCAGCGCCGCCGCGGAAGCGAAAGAGGAACCGCCGGCCAGCGAACCCACGGGTTACTACTGCTTGGACACAATGGACCGTTGCTGCTGTCACCGCACCAAGCTATCAGACTCTACCAAGGAGCAGATAATGAGGAAGATACTAGAGATGCACGAGAACAGACAGGAAATCGGGTCTCAACCTGGCGTGCGCGCGTTCAAAGCTCTCGGCCTGGACGGCAGCCTCGGCTGGAGGACCATCCAAGACATCGGCTTCGAGGATAGTATCATGGCGTGGCATCTCGCCAGTGACATCTGCCTCTTCAGTGACCGCAGCAACAAGCTGGATTTGCACGAGGGGGTGGCGGTTCTGTCCAACTACATGATGTTCCTCCTCGTGCACCGCCGGTACATGCTGCCAGGCCCCGTGCGTCGCACGCGGTACGAGCAGGTGCGCGACGATCTCAACAAGTTTATGCATCGAAAGGGCCGCGCTCGCTCGCCGCAGGACTTGTTCGTGTGGGCTCTTCGCAGGGGCCTCCATGATCATCTCAACTCCGACGATCCTCCGGCGCAGTACGACACCGGAGTAAGACTTGCCGCCGTGCTCTACCACCGGTTGGACAGGCTTGATATCATCTTTGGGGTGTGGGTGGAGATGCTGTCTTACGTTGCTTGCAACTGCAGCAGAGAGTCTCATGCCAGGCAGCTTAGCAGCGGTGGTGAACTCGTCACCATCGTCTGGCTTATGGCGAGGCTCGTCGACATGTCTTGAAACTTTTCATCCTCATAGGCTCAGACTATATTCATCGTACATAGAGATAATTATGAATCCTTCTGTTTCTAGCACCAGCAGCTTCATCTCTCCTGTGTTTAAGTATACGGTAGTTGAGATGTATTAGGATAGGATTTATTTAGATCGTAGCTTTCCTTATCTATGATCTTTAATTATCTCTACTCATGTAATTTCTATAACATACTAGCTCTATGTGACTATAAAATTGTGTATGTTGCGCTCTCTTCAACTTACACTATTCAGCATGATATTACAGCGGGCGACCTAGGGCCACCGCTCACGCTTCCACCACCGTTGCCCCCGGGAGGGTTCTAATCTCCAAGGGGCGGCCACTCATTTATTTTTTTTCTTTGTCAATGTCTTCGTGTTTTCTTCGTCATCTTAGCATCGTCATATAGCAGCAGGAGCACTTACCTCTGGTTGTCACCACGGGACTCATTCCGTCATTCTATCCAATTTCCTCACCGATAAAGAAGCTGTCCTTAAAATAAATAACGGTAATCGAATAAATGCCAAAACATGTAAAAAAATGAAAATGCTCTAAAATGCTTTACCCTGAGATGAGGATTTCCAGCTACTTTTCCCTCCCTTTCCACTACCATAGAGGGTGCCATACGAGTGTTAGACTTGATGATATAAGATAGCGCTATGGAGCTTTGTTTCAGGAGCTCTGCCTCTTCCTCACTGCACCGCGCACAGTTCATTGCATGCAAGGTGTTTGTTAGAGCCTGTTTTATTTCCGTTTTTTGTGGCTTGGTTGTTACAGAATGAGTCGTGTCTTGTAAAGCTGGATTCGTGCAAGTTCACGACGAGGCGTAGTGTAGCGAGTCGTACGCTCACGTTCTCCGCCATGTGGGATGGCACATGCACAACTGGAGGAAGTGGGAGTGCAAAGAGTTGGAGACACGATCGCATGATCTCGTTTTCGCTTTCCATAAAAAGAGATGAAATATACAGAAAAGCTGCGCAAGTTTGGTGGCACAAAAACTTCTCTCGTGTGTTCTTCTCTTCCACCATTCATCATCAAGTATTGTTGATTTCTAGGGATTAGCGAATAGGTTGATTCTGAGTTTTTGCCAACATCTGGTATCAGAGCCATGTCGCCTCCGACGCCACACGTCTCGCATTCGCCGCATCGTCAATCCCGCTCGCCTCCTCCGCGCCGTGGTCGCTGTTGGCCTGGCGCCGCTTGGGACTTGGGTCCGGACAGGCGCGTTGTCAAGGAGGTGGGGGGTGATGCTGCAGGCGCGCGGCCTCTAGGAAGCTATCGACACGGGTGACGTCGACTTCCAGGAGGACAGGATGGTGTTGGAGGCCGTCCTCAAGGCGGTCCCCGCTGATCTGCTGCCGGTGCTCGCTGTCAAGGAGATGACGAAAGACGCCTGGGATGCCATCAAGACGATGCGCGTCGGCGTCAACCGTGTCCGCAAGTCAAAAGCGCAGGAGCTGCGCAAGCAGTTCGATGCGATCGAGTTCAAGGAAGGGGAGTCCGTGGAGGAATTCTCCATCCGGCTGAGCTGGCTCGTCAACAACCTTGCCGTACTCGGGATCCAGCTTGAGGAATCAAAGGTCTGTGAAAATTTTCATCTTGTTGTTCCTGAACATCTTGAGCAGATTGCAATTGTCCATTGAGACTCTGCTCGATCTCAGATACCCTGTCGCTTGAGCAGCTGACAGGGGTGTCTGAGGAATGCCAAGGAGCACCGTCCTCAAGAAGAAGTCCGGCGATGAGAGCGACAAACTGTATCTCACGGAAGAACAGTGGGCCACTCGTGCCGAGGAACAGGCAGTCCGGCGAGGGATCGTCGGGCAAGAAGCAGGCATCAACCACCGCCGCCGCGGTGGGCAGAAAAAAACCGAGGGCGCTGCCAATGGCGAGCGGGGCGCGCGCGATCAAGGGCGCGACAAGTGCAAAAACTGTGGTCGTCTCGGTCATTGGGAGAAAGACTGTCGCCAGCCCAAGAAACAAGCCGAGGCACACGCCGTCCAGGGTGAGGAGGAAGATGACGAGCCGGTTTTGCTAATGGCTCACGCTGTTGAGCTGGCGCAACCTCCACCATCGCCACCACCAACTGAACCGTTCGACCTCGTTGAGCCCAAGGTGTTCACACTGTTATGAAAATAGATGCACAACGGAGACACGAATTTTACGTGGAAAACCCTTGCGGGAAAAAACCACGGGCGCCGACCGGCAATGATCACTATAGAGGAGTTGATTACAAACGTAGCGGAATCACAATGGGAACGTCACCCCTTCCCATACAGCTTACAAGAGTATATATAGGGGATAAAAGAAAGACACCTAATAGGAACTCCTACTAGGAAACTAAACCGAATATATTGTGGGCCCAAAATTCGGATCACATATTTAACAATCTCCACCTTGAGACGAATTTCCTCTTGTAGCATGAAAAACATCAAACACCAAAAATACCTCATGTAGGTAAAATCACCGTGCGCCAAATAGTCTCTAGGACTATACTGTAACACCAACCAAGCTTGAGCAAATCTCAAACTTAGTAGCAGGATTCATATCAGCTGGGTTATCATGAGTACTTATCTTGCATACCTTAACATCACCTTCAGCAATCACACCTCGAATAAAGTGATATCTCATATCAATGTGCTTTGTTCTCTCATGGAACATCTGATTCTTTGTAAGGCATATTGCACTTTGACTATCACAAAATATATTTATGCAAGACGTAACTCCACAAAGTTCAGTGTACAAACCTTTAAGCCAAATAGATTCTTTACAAACTTTAGAAATAGCCATATAGTCTGCTTCAGTGGTAGATAAGGCAACAGTTGCTTGCAGACTTGCCTTCCAACTAACAGCACATCCTCCAATAGTGAAAACATAACTTGTGAGCGATCTTCTCCTATCCAAGTCTCCAGCAAAATCTGAATCCACATAACCAATGAGTCCATTTCTAGATCTCCCAAACTGCAAACAAGCACTAGATGTACCACGTTGGTATCTGAAAATCAATTGAACAGCTTTCCAATGCTCTTTGCCAGGATTAGCCATGTATCTACTGACAACACTTAATGCATGTGATAAGTCAGGACGAGAACATACCATGGCATACATAATTGAACCAACTGCACTTGAATAATGAACTCTAGACATGTACTCAATATCACAATCTGACTGTGGACATAAATCTGAAGATAATCTGAAATGTGCAGCTAAAGGAGTACTCACTGGTTTTGCATCATGCATATTGAAACGACAAAGAACTTTTTCAATATAACTTTTCTGACTAGGATATAACTTGCGTCAGAATGTCTTTCTCTAGTAATTTCCATACCGAGAATTTTCTTCACTGCACCCAAATCCTTCATCTCAAATTCACTACTCAATTGTGCCTTCAACTTTGCTATCTCTGATTTGTCTTTTGCAGCAATCAACATATCATCGACATAAAGAAGCAAATATATAGCTGAACCATCAGCAACTTTGACATAAACACAGCTATCATAATTGGATCTTCTAAACTTTTGAGAAAGCATAAAAGAGTCAAATCTCTTATACCACTGTCTAGGTGACTGCTTCAACCCATAAAGAGATTTCTTCAACCTGCATACTAGGTTCTCTTTTCCAGGAACAACAAAACCTTCAGGTTGCTCCATATAAATGTCCTCTTCTAACTCCCCATGTAAAAATGCAGTCTTAACATCCATTTGCTCTAGTTCATAATCATGCATTGCAACAATACTGAGTAAAGTGCGAATTGAACTATGCTTCACAACCGGGGAAAAGACATCATTGAAATCAATACCTGGAATCTGGCTATAACCTTTAGCAACTAACCTTGCTTTGTACATTGCCTCATCACTTGGAGATATACATTCCTTTCTTTTGAAGATCCATTTGCAACGGATAGGTTTCTTCTCCTTTGGCAACTTCACCAATTCCCAAGTATGATTCTTTTCAAGTGACTCCATCTCATCATGCATAGCAGTTATCCATCTATTGCAATCATCAGAAACAATAGCCTCAGAATATGTAGAAGGTTCTGCATTACCTTCAATTTCTTCTGCCACACTCAAAGCATAAGCAACTATGTTCGCTTCTTCAATATATCTTTGAGGAGGTTTAGTACTTCTTTTGGGCTTTTCTTTTGCAATAGAACGTTTTGGAGACTGCTGAACAGTAGAAGAATTTGTATCTTCAATAACAGGTGCATCTTGGTGAACAGTAGTGAACCCTTTTCCATAGACTTTGGAGGCGAATCCTCGTCAAAGCTGCACCTTGTGATCTTCCCATGGCTCGCGTTCGGCCACGTGCTCCCTTACCTAGAGCTCGCAGAGCGCGTGGCATCGCGTGGCCACCGCGTGTCCTTCGTCTCTACACCACGCAACATCGCGCGCCTCCTGCCGGTGAGCCCCGCCGTGGCACCGCGTGTCGACCTCGTGGTGCTGCCGCTCCCGCACGTCGATGGTCTCTCGGTTGGTGCCGAGTGCACCAACGACGTTCCCTCCGACAAGTTCGAGCTTCTCTGGAAGGCCTTCGACGCCCTGGCGCCGCCGTTCGCCGAGTTCTTGGGCGCCGCATGTGTGGGAACCCGAGCCCTTCCGGCAGGTGGTGACGTTCATGAAAAAGCCGCTTGTCCCCCTCGGCCTTCTGCTGCCGTCGCCCGACGGAGGACGCCGCCGCACCGCCGAGATGGTCGACGACGCCACCATGCAGTGGCTGGACGCGCAGCCGCCAGATTCAGTGGTGTACGTCGCGCTGGGGAGCGAGGTGCCGTGCGCGTGGAGCTGGTGCACGAGCTGGCTCTCAGGCTAGAGCTCGCCGGGACACGTTTTCTCTTGGCGCTGAGAAAGCCCTGTGGCGTTGATGACTCGGATGTGCTTCCTCTCGGCTTTCTAGAGCAGACGCATGGCCATGGACATGTCGCCATGGGGTGGGTTCCTCAGACCACCATACTGGCACATGCCGCGGTGGGTGCATTCTTGACGCACTGTGGACG